TGTTTTGTTTGGGAGTTCATGGATCTATCAAACGCACGCAACATCAAGAGGAGGACTTGGGATATATATATGAAAGCATTGATGGCCGGCGTGGAAGCCATTGTGTGGTCCGGCTACGGCCGAAGCTTGGTAGCCGGATCGCGACCACGCCGGGCCTCGTATGAGAATTATGTGTATGCTGTCGGCAGACTGGATACTCGATAAGATACTAGATGAATGAAGAAAGAAAACTAGATTGAAATGGTTGTCCCAGTTCTTGCCAAGTGATTTGTCACCGGCCTTCTGTTGTAAAACCAATCTTGCTTGTTTGGGTCATGGGTCTGTGAAGAATAATAGCATCGACAAGCCGCTCGCGGCGACAGGCACGGCGGGGACGATAACATCAGCAGATGAGATGCCCTATCCTATTGCGGTAATTCTGCTGGTGTCGTCTCAGTGAGCTTTCAAACTGTGTCATGCTATGGTGTCAACGTACCTGGCCGTACATGAATACGCTGAGAGTGAGCTCCATCATAGACGCCGGAGGGCGATGAGGGGGTCAATGCGGTGGGGGGTGACGATGATGCGACGCCGCATCTAAATTCGAATCGTCAGAGTAGAGAGGTGATAAACTCCTTTCAGAAACAGATTCGAGATTAGAATTGTTTCTTTGCGGGAAGAACATGGGCTGACGATGTCTTTTACAGGAGGTCGTTGGTGGGTGGGGAGGCGGTGTTGGGGTGGTGTCGGTGAGGGTATAAATGATGCTTGTGTGCTGGGACTTGTGGTTCTGTACGGCGAAATTGTAAAAGTTGGATCTCTGGATTTCATAGACAACATGTCCTTCACCGCAGAGTCGTCGTCTGAGATCCTCTCGGTAGTGCATTCGACTTTGCGTGTTGCATTTGCATAGGTCATTTTGTTGATCATGAATGAATAGTCTAGGAGCAGCGAGGGGCGTTAGAGACGAAGGATGGCGTCGAGGGAGCGGCGGCAGGACGGCAGGCGATGCGACGGCTTTCCTGTGGACTAATTGTGAGATTGAGAACGCCGCATAAGTTCAAGCAGAAGATCACCAGATTGCTGTGCTCCAAGCGAAATGCTATGATGATGGCTTTTATAATCCATTGGTGCAGTGATATCTGCGTTGTTGTCTTTCCACGTATAAAGGCATGCTGACTTACTTAGGACTCCTGTGTCCGGCGCAGATGATCAGAGCCCACGCATCGATTTCGAGCAAGCTCTAGTCGTAATGCCCTTCTGCGACGGATAAGCTTTATGTTGCGCTTTGAGGTGTGCAGGTCTGGTTATCGGAGCTCGGTTCCTTATGCTAGAATACCATCAGAGTGAAGCATGAGGGAGACGACGGACGACGGTCTGGTGGGAGTTGCGGCGGTAATGGAGATGGGGAGAGGGTGCCCCGGGGTCGTTGGGGCTGTTTCGGTGTGACGGCTTTTCATTAGCCTTTGACTATCATCATACCAAAAAATGGTTCAATTTGGTTTATGGTTGAAGGGGTGGATGTTGTGGCTCTTAATATACTGCAGCAACCTATGTCGAACTGGAGGTTCTGCTGGTGGACTGCATGCTTTGGGATGAGCGGAAGGATCGGGAGGGTGCATATACTGCCAGGTTGAGTAGCCTTTCTTTCTGGCAGACGATATTGCTATGCGATGAAGAATGATTTCTAGGGATGGGGATTGAGCGATGACGTTTCCTTCCCTTGCGCTGGGGATGGAATGCAGAGGTCCGGGGGGGGGGGGGGGGGGGGGGGAATT